AAGTACTGAAAAACTCTCAATGTCGTGGTGGTGAACATAACTTCTATGAAATTTTTGTTTGATAGCTAAAATTATTATTATTGGCCACAGCAGAAGCACTCTATTAAATAAGGATTACTACTCTATTCTTTAACTGGATGCCTGTAGTAGACATTTAGCTGTCTTCCAAAATTTGTGCTCTCCTTTCCATAGTATAGAGTTATCACTACATAGCAGCAGTCAGGGTTTTTATTTGCTATATCTCCTTAGATTTAGGTATACCAGTGACTTGTTTTCACTAATGGTATGTGATTGGAAGTGATGTGGGTCACTACTGAACCAAGACTTTTAAGAGTGTATGCCCACTCCTTTTTTATTCTCCTGATTAGATAAATTCAAATGACTATTCAGTTCTATAGGATGGTGAACCCTAAATATGGAAGTAACCTGGAGCTTGGAATCATTATGTGGAGGAGAGGCACACACTGAACACTAATTAATATAAAAACTCAGCAAATAGCATTAAAAGTAGGTTAGAGCTCTGGAGAGATATGAGAGGCTTAAAATTCAACTAAAGAAACACATATATTTAAACAGATTTCTTTGTAGTCAAAATGTAAGCAGAAGTTTACAGGAAAAAATTACCTCTTTAAGTAATCCTCATCTTTTTGAAATGGTACAACTCCCCCATTTAGTTCTCCTATCAAAAACAACGGTGTGTAGCAGATATGTGCTTCCCAATGGAGGCTCTGTTTCTCTTAGGGGTTTAGAAACTTCGGCCTTTTGCTATCATTGTGCCACTATACTACTGTGGCCCCAGAGCATGGATTTTCAAGCTATCTAAACCATCGCTTGCTATTTCTAGAGGAGTCCATAAACAAAATTGGGAAATAGGATAATTTTTCTCCCTAGTCTTCTACTAGCTCTGGCTCTTCTATTCACATCCTTCCTTGTTCCTTCTCACCTATTAAAATTGAATCAAAGAAGGCCGGGCACGGTGGCTCACGCCTATAATCCTAGCACTCTGGGAGGCCGAGGTGGGCGGATTGTTTGAGATCAGGAGTTCGAGACCAGCCTGAGCAAGAGCGAGACCCCGCCTCTACTAAAAAAAAATAGAAAGAAATTAATTGGACAGCTAAAAATATATAGAAAAAATTAGCCAGGCATGGTGGCACACGCCTGTAGTCCCAGCTACTCGGGAGGCTGAGGCAGCAGGATTGCTTGAGCCCAGAAGTTTGAGGTTGCTGCGAGCTAGGCTGACGCCACGGCACTCTAGCCCGGGCAACAAAGTGAGACTCTGCCTCAAAAAAAAAAAAAAATGAATCAAAGAAAGAATCTAAAAACTCATTCACATTTGCCATTAATGAAGGATTAAGGCTGTAGTAACTCTCACAAGTTACAACTCTTATCCTGTGATGATAACTAAGCTTTAATATACTTACAAACCTGTAAAATTAAATGAGAGGCAGTATGTGAAGTTGTTAAGAGTTCATATTTTAAGGCCAAAATTTCAGGGATTTCAATTCCTATTCCAGCACTTCTCACTTATGTGACTTTAGGCAAGTTACTTGATCTACTTATGTTTCAGTTTTCTCATTTATAAAATGAAGATGATAATAAAAGCCACCTGCCACACAAGAAGATTACTAACAAGGTTCTATTAAGTCAACAAACTTTATCAGGTACATACTTCAAATTGAAGATTTTTCCAGGTTGAACATAAATTATTAAATTTTAATTTTGAGCAATATATAATAAGCACCATTATAACCTGGTTCCCATTCCCATAGACTTAGATGATCTCATTCAGAAACAAAAAAAATCTTGTCATGTTTTAGAATCAAATATAAAAATTATTTTCAAATATTATGGGGTAATTAAGATGTATGACACATTTATCAAGATTTCCCATTAATATAAAAATCAAGTGTGTTTGAAGCATTTAGAATTCTTATTATTTTTTAAATGAAAATGACTATTTTATAAGAAATACAATATAAAACCTCTTACAGGCATTATAGTTCATTACGTAGAATAATTCTTCATTTTAGAGTGCATAAAATGGATACTTAAATAATAATAACTTCTAAAAAAATAAGGATCATGAAACAACATATAAATAATGATTACTTGGAATAAATATAACTGAGATAAAAGCTCATAAGTAATATTTTCTAGAAGAAGAAAAGAACTTTTTCAACTACTTCTATAACCTATGAAACAACTTTACTACAATCTCTTGGTGGTCAAATACTAGTCAAAACCTGTTAATTATTTTTAGTTTTCAAATACCAATTGTTAAATATTAAAATATAAAACAGGAGGCTGAATTACAGACATGTAGTTAGAAGAAAGAGGAATATTTTA